GGTGCCCGCAGGGCGGGGAGGCTAGCTGGGCGCGGAGCGGGGCTCCGTCGAGTTGCTCTGAAGAAGGAAGGCGGAGAGCTCGCTCAGCGCTCTGTACCGGTGCGAGATGGAGTTCTTCACCGCCTTGGGCAGCTCAGCGTAGCTGGAGGGGACAGAAACAAGTCTCAGCAGCGGAGACACTAGGCATGTGTCCCCGAGAGCTCATCCCCTGCTTGTGGTCCCCCTGCTCAACTACACAGGAGGGGCATCTGTAGTGACACAACGGCAAAGCCAACAACCCCCATCCTGTTCCAGGAGTTCCTTGTAACCCACCACATTCAGATCCAGCAGGGTGTTTTCTCCCTCCCGGCCTTCCTCATAAGCAGGTTTCTCTCCATGCACCTCGACCCCGGCGTTCCTTTGGTAAAGAGCTGTAGGTAAAATGCCACTTACGTCTGGTTGTAGCCATCCGGCTGAAAGCAGGGATCCCAGCCGAAATCTCGAGGGCCTCTGGGCTCCACTATCAGCCCCTGCCACGAGACAGCAGAAAACCCCCGTAAGCTGCGACTCGGCAGTGTTTCCCTCGCAGTCGCGTTTCAAGCATGGGCTGAAGAGCTACATGCAGCCACAGCTCACACAGTGGCCAGGACGGGCTCGGGGTGGGGCTGTCCTCCTTCCCAGCACCTCTCCGGGCCGTAAGCAAAGTTAGCAGCTGCAAAGTCAGCGCTCCATCACGCTGCCCTACGCTGACAGCCCCTTCACCCCCTCCAACTGACAGGGCCAACAACTGCGCTCAAATACAGCCCTGCCAGAGGGAGATCCACGGAGTCAGGAGTCTGAGATAATATGCGAAGCTGGGCCAAAGGGCTGCAGCTCTCAGCACCACCACCCACCAGCTCTGCTCTCCCTCAGTCTGTTCCCAACAAGCTCTGAGGGCGTTCAGAGCCACTAAAATTGTCCTCAACAGAGCCAATGCTGTTACAAAATTCATGTTACAGCCCTCCGCCCTCAGCACGTTCCCTTCCCCAGGCACAACACCTACGTGGGTCTGGCCTTTGAACAGCTTCACGGGCTCCTCGGGGTTCCCAGTACTGAACGCGAAGGTACAGAGAGCGTAGGCAGACTTGTCTTCAAAGCCAGCCAGCAGCTTGTACAGGCCTGAGCGACACAGAAAGGATCCCAGCATTACCATCCTTCCCTGGGAGCGCAACACACCCACCTAGGGATGGACTGAGGGAGCGTTCTGCATTCGCATCCGCAAGGGAGAGGAAGAACTACAGGAGGTGACAAAGCTCAGGCACAAGGATGCTCTTGGCTGGGTCCCCCGTATGACTGAAGCCAGCACTTCAGACCCAACACAGCGTGAGCTGCAGGGCCCTGCCACTAATCTGGGAGTGGAACCAAAGAAGCACACAAGCAACACCGGAGAGGGCTAAAGCCCACTCTAAATTCGCACGATTAACCCTCATGCTCGTGGCGCCAGTGACTGGCAGTCTTGCTTTTAACTGCGGTATCAAAGGCAGTCACTGCACGTCAGAGGAGGTGAGCATTAGTGGAGAGGGGCTTGCACAGAAGCCAAAGGGAGCAGCAGGTCTTCCACAAGCCCTGCCACCAGCCTGTGGAGGCAGGAGTCTGAGAATCCAGGGATGATGCTGAAGCTACTGGGGGAAACAACATCTTGTGAAGAAGGGCACAAAACAGGCTCAAGAAGAGAATGAGAACGGACAGAGAGGAAGGGAATCAACTACGAAACGGGCAGCGTGTGGGCAAGCACGCTCAGCAGGGCCCAGCATGGGCATAGATCCATTTCATTTGGGAAGTACTGAGTTACAGGCAGAGCAGTAACACGGGAGGCAGTACCTTCCGGTTTGAGTTTTTCCAGGAACCATTTTCTGAAGGAGAAGAAGAGAGGAAAGATTAATTTTTGCTATTATTTCTCAGAAACACAGGATTCTTTGCGACACTGTTGCCTGCATTTTCACAGCCCTTTGAATCCCTCTTAAATGTGCTGTCAAATCACCTCATTCTGGACTCTTTACCAATAATGACAGACTTAGCTCTTAAACTGAATGGGACACAGTAAAACAGCAGTGGGGTATTTAATTTACTGCAGTACTGGGGTCTATGTAAACAACTCAGTTCTCACTCGTGAGCACTGACATGAGAAATACACTTCTCAATTCACCCGTTCACATCTTACACACAGTTCTAGTGTCAACTTCATCATACGAAGCTTCTAGGTCTCTGCTTTGCTCAGCAGAGACAGTTTGGAAGAATTAATCATACTAAAAGTTTACTCCAGGAGCTAAGGCAGTATTTTATTAGAGGAGTTGCACTGTAATGTAATAATCTTGTTATCTACTGGATTAAAGCAGTGCCTTTGAGAACCTGTAGGATACTCATCC